GGTAGTATGGCACACGTTTGAAGTTGTTAATTTCAGATGCGCGAAAGGCCACTTACTAAGAAAGATCTCATTCCAAGTTTGTTTTATGAGGGAAAAACTGGCGAGGATTTAGCGTCATCAGAAGTTTCTTGGACAAAGGTAGTTTAAGTAGAGGACCTTATATACCCCAAGTCCCAGCAATCTGTCGTACGGGACCATTGGTGATAGGGGTTTGTGGTTGGGGGACTAGGATAAACAGCGAACAAAATTCGTAGAAGTGTAAAGTGATAAAATGTGGTTGAATCTGTTTACCGCGGCCGTTATATAGCCAAGGACTAGAGCGCGTAAATAAAAAAAAATAAGCAAATGAAACGCCGGCGTAAATTTGTAACAGGTCAGGAACCGGTGGGATTAATAGCTAAAATAAATATAATAGTCATTAAAGCGCCTTCCGGCAATCCAGTATTCCAGCATCATTCTGCACCTCGGCGTCGAAGCCCTACTGATAAAAACCACAAAATTAATGTGGTTTATCACCATATAATAACTTCAATAACTTTTCCTCGCTGCTTGCCCTAATTTTACACCCATAAAACCCATATTACCACAGGTCTCTTGAGACAGAATTTTGGGACTAGGATTTTATGACGTCCACTACGTAAAACTATTGTTGCCGTTTCTTGATATCCCAGTGATTTCTTATGCAATTTAAAGTTGGAGTTCGCAACTTGTTTTTTTTTTATGCGCATTGCGCTGTAAAAGAACATTGATATCAGCATGACATTTTTTAAAATTTAAATCCCTCAGGGGAACGAAAATCAAGTAAATGTTGGTATGAAAAATCGCATCTTTTTCGGGGAAAAAAGGCGGACTAACTTCTACACATCTGTGACATTTTCTGCCACGAAACTCAATAAAAAGCTTACGTGACTAGAGCCTGTTTTGCCACACCGATACGGTCACGCCCTACGATGAGGATGTTGAGCTGCCTGCAGTCTTCCACGAACAGATAGGGGAATTAGCAGCGGCAAGATTGCCACGCGAGTCATAAAGAAGTATTTTCCGTATCAGTAAGGCGACTCTGTGGCGCATTATTAATGACAGAACAGTGTTCAGAAATAAGTAGGGTGGAGCAAAACGATCCACGAGCAAGCAAGCAAGACGACGATATCGTTCGTCGTACATTCACAAGTATCATCATATACCCATTCCCAGGAAACCCTTGCCGATGTTCTCTATGCAGTTAGTTAGGAAGAAAATACAGACATTTGATCTGCACCAGGAAAATGTCCCAGTCAAGGCGTTTTGAAGTAGGAAACTCATCGGAGAACCTTTTCTATTTGCTAAAAAGTACATTGATTACCGGTTCTCATTCTGGAAGAACGCTTACTTCTGCGAAGAGTTCTTATCTTTAGATAAGCCTGCGAAGTCAACCCAGATAGTCGTATAAGGAACGAACATCCCTAATGAGCACATCGCGCCGACGGAAAGTTTCAAACATGTCAACGGTTGATTATCTGGGTGGCTGTTAAATCTAGTGAGCGGCCAAGCTTACGGTTGACCATTAACAGCAAGACGTTCATTGAAATTTTTAATGGATTTCTTCATTTATACTGGCATTCATAAATGCAGAATGGATGGCATAATTTAACTGGAAAAATTTCCCATTCGTCACTCGGAAGAGGCATGCATTCGATAGGACTTGCAAGCATACTTAAATTTTTTAGACAACAGCCAGCCTTATGGCATGCGGTCCCCAGTCTAATTTTATTGCTGCTAATAGCCGGGATCTAAATCTGATCGAAAATCGTTTTGTAATTATCAAAAGAAAGCGACACAAAACGGCAAAGAGCAACCTTTTTATGCAAGAAAAAAGTACATTGGCGCTAAGTAATCACACCCAAAAAATCACTATAGGCAACCTGGCTATGTGCATGCCTGGCTGACTTTATGCTGTCAAGGAGTGCGCAAGGACTTGCCCAATCCATATTTGGTGCTAAGGCTTAATTTGGCCAAAGCAAGTCACCACTTGGGGAATGCGCAGGCAACTGCGTTGTCCTTCGCAAACACTGGGGAGCCAGAGGCCGAGCAATCCTCAAGTCCAATGCCCCCACGCGTGCTAGCGGTTCAGTAAGTCACGGCCCGCATGCCGGTCAGCAAGCAAGTAACGCACAAAAGGATAATTATCGTTAATTATCGTTGCCATAAGTCAGCAGTAATGACTGTATCCTATAAATACTGCAAATTCCTGTGCATGTATCACCCGCTCATGCTACTGTTTTCTGCTGATGTCTCTGATGAAGAAGCCACGACGGGTTTCGAAGCGTCACGCGAATAAAAGTCTTGTCCCAGCGATCGATTCTTCCTCTTCTCAGACTTTATGCTGTTTTAACTGAAAACAGACAGTCAAAAAATACTAGTCTTTTATTCTTGTGGATTACACTACACTTCACATGCCCCTCTTCCTTAAGTTTCCTTTTGGCTAATCATATCTGAGTGAGTTGCCATATAATCCTCGACCGAAATTCCAATTTTTTAGTGCAAATTAAGTAATTATATCTTAGTAATTTAAATTGGCCCAATTGCGAAATAACTCGCGGCATTCGGAGGGATTTGAACCCGCATAAAAGAGAAGACTTTTACACGAAGCCCATGCTCTCCCAGTTGAGCTACAACTGCCACGCTTCACACTGTGAGTTTAATCACAATTGGGTCAACTAAAATTAAGCAAATCTGCCAAACCTCCTAAATAATAAGTCAGCCTAGTAGTCAT